AGAATTGGGGTGGCTCCTCCCACTTGTCTGGGGTACCCAGGGGGCCTCCCCGGGACCACCTGACCTGGGAGAGAGAGAGACAGAGAAAGCATACTGCACTGCTGTGATGTGCTTGGCCTTGGAGCGAAAATAGATCTATTTTGTTCTAGCCTTGCGACTTCACCCCATGCTTGCTGGCAAATCCTTCCCTCTGCAGCCCATTTCTTTGTCTGTAAGGCGGCATTGTGACAGCCCCTGCCTCGCCCTTCAGTGTGGAACTAAGTGGGGCAGTGAGTAGAGGCAGGGCACGGAGCCTGGCAGGAGCATTGTCGGCCCTCCCAGTCCTTACAGCTCCCTCTTGTCCTGCCCCCAAGCAGCAGGTATCTTGGGGACATCACAGGATGTCAAACAAGGAGGGCCTGTGGAAGAGGCACAGACTCGGGGGAGGGCGGGAGAGAAGTAAGCTGCTGGTGGTGCAGCCCTGTGAGGTCAGAGAAGAGTCAGGCGGGGTCAGCCCAGCCTCATTGTGCCAGGCTTACCAGGTTCAACCTGCAAGGAATGCTCAGCTTGAGTCCTGTAATGTTTTCATTGAGTCAACCAGTTTTTATTGTTTGTTTGTTTTGGTGTTGGTTTTGCTCTTTGAGACAGAGTCACTCTGTCACCAGGCTGGAGTGCACTGGCCATGATCTTGTCCTGCAATCTCCCACCTCCCGGGTTCAAGCCAATTCTCTTCTCAGCCTCCTGAATAGCTGGGACTACAGGCCATGTAAAAATTTTTGTTTTTCGTAAGGCAGAGGTTTTGCCATGTTGGTAAGGCTGGTCTTGAACTCCTGACCCCAGTCCTCCACCTGCCTCAGCCTCCCAAAGTGCTGGGACTACAGGTGTGAGCCATGGTCCCTGGCCAGAGTCAACAGTTCTTAAATGGGAAGGTCTGTGCAAAAGTTCTGGACTTTTCATGGCTTCTCTTGAAGAAACTGGGTCCTGTGACAACAGGAACTGCACTCCCACCTGGCAGCAATGAGCTGCCCCTGGGGACAGGGGTGTGGACTCTGGTTGCCCAGACCCACCTCCCCACTGCCACCCCAGGTGGAAGGGCAGCTGATCTGCTATCATTGTATAATCTGCTTCACTCTCTCTTTTATATTATCAACCCCTGTGCAGGCACCGGAGTGGGACCACGAACCAAGGGCTGGGGGACCTGAGGAAGGCTGCAAAGCAGCCTGGGTCCAAACCAACTTGCTGAGCAAAAGGAGGAGAAGAGGCGTTTCACCAGGGCAGCAAGCACAAAGGAGGCATGCCAAGCCGAGCAGGATCAAGAGCCGGTGGCCTGTGAGAGGGTTAACAGGGGCTGTAACTGCAATGTGGAGTTGTGGAGGGCACAGTCAGAGCTGAGGGCTGATGGAGACGGAGCCAGAGTTTTTGGAACAAATATAAATGGCAAAAATGGGAGAGATTTGAAGGGTATTACTAGGAATTATATAATGAGGGGAAGAGGGTGAGGAAGAGGCATCACCTCACTCCCTCATGCCTCAGGTAGGACCTCCAGCCAGAGCAGACCCAGAAGGGAAGGGCAGTTGGAAGGGAAGGAAAATCCATGGAGAAGCTGCACCAGCTCACTGCCTGTGGAGACCAGGCGCCAACCTCCCAGCTCCCCCTGAGACTCGTTTCTGTGGAAAGCCTCCTCACCCACCTCGGCCAGGACAGTGATGCTGTCAGAGAGCAGCAAGGACAGTGAGCCACCTCCTCATGAATGAACAGAGTGGGCAGACGAACCCCATCCTCCTGGCTCAGGGTGCTCATGGAAACTGAGGCCCAGAAGACTCTGGCAAAGCCCGGCCTTCCAAGCTCCTAGAACATCTGGCACCTGCTGTGTGCAGACTGTGGCCAGGGCTGGCTGCTCTGGTCGGGGGTGGTGCACCCTGAGGAAAGGTCAGCTCTGGCCCTGAGCACCTCTCGATTAGGAGCCATGTGCAGAAAGGAGAAGAGGCAGGGGCTGTGGCGCCCCTGAAAGTTCACCGGCACCAGTATCTGCCAGACACCTGTAGGTGACTTCGTTGTGTAAACAGTGGCGCAGGGCAGAGAGCCAGGCAGCTTCCCCATGAGCAAGTCTCGCTGCCTTGGTGCATCACATGAGAACAGAAAGAACTAAGGCAGGGTCGGGAGGAAGCCAGTGGAGGCCAGTTTGGGGCAGTGGAGTCAGAGAGGGCCTGCCTGATTAGTGACATTTGAACCAAGAGTTGACAGAACTAAAAATTGAGCCATGGGGTAATCTAGAAGGAAGCATTCAGGCGAAGGTTGCTGAGGAGAAGAAAGCCGAGGTGCTCTCAGGGGCTGAAGAATTGAGTGGCATAGCAGGAAATGCGAAAGACAAGGTGCTGCCCCCACAGGAGCGGGTGCCGGAGCCAGATGCCCTGCTGTGCCTGAGGTGCCAGGCTGGGTAACCAGGAGACTTCAGAACCTGCGTCATGAAAACAGCAAGGCCAGGGTGGAACTATTTGCCTGTCACTGACTAATAGCCTGTTTGCATTTTCTCAAGCACAGCTTCACAAAGCCTACAAAGTAACAAGAACAACTCCATCGGCCTCTTGCACAAATTGGTCTTGCGATTCCACAGTCCTCCCATCCCTGGAGTGGCAGCTGGGTGCACTTTCACCGCGTGACACCTGGCTCTTGCCGAGAGCCACTGCCCTGCACCAGACCTAGCTCATTCCTGGCGGCAGGCTTAGGCTGAGTTCTCAGGCCCCTCCAGGCCACAGGGTGCTACACAGCCTGAGCCCATGTGCTCCCAACTGAACTGACCAGACTGTCTTTTCCCTAAACCTCCATGAGGCCAGACCAAACCTACAAAAAGTAAGCCTTCCCAAAACCAAAACAAAAATGCTTGAGGACCCAGTCTCTTCTTTTTTTTTTTTTTTAGAGGCGGAGTCTCGCTTTATCACTCAGGCTGGAGTGCAGTGGCGTGATCAGGCTCACTCGACCTCCACCTCCTGGGTTCAAGCGATTGTCTTGCCTCAGCCTCCGCAGTAACTGGGACTACAGGTGCCCGCCACCATGCCCAGCTAATTTTTGTATTTTTAGTAGAGATGGGGTTTCACCATGTTAGCCAGGATGGTCTCGTCTCCTGACATATGATCCATCCTGGAGCTTCCCCAAGTGCTGGGAATTGCAGGCATGAGCCACCACACCCGGCCCTCTCCTCATCTTTGAAGCTCTACAGTTCCCGAGGGTTCTGAGCCTCGTCCAGGAAGGTGAGGAGGTGACGAATGAGACACTCATGCAAAGTGCCTCTACTAGATGCAGGATGGGGAGAATATGAGTACCATTCTCTGACTGTTGTTACTGTGGTTTCGCCTCCTCCTTGGCTATATACAAGACCACAGGACATTTCTCTTTCTTTCTGCATTTGTTTTTAATAATAGGGACATTTTTAAAGAGCTGGAATTATCCTTACTGCATCAAAAAACAAACAAACAAAGAACAGTGAAGGCCTGTGAATGTTCTCATACAGCTTAAGGTCTAGCAAAAGCAGAGACCCTGGCTGCCTCTTCTCAGTCGAGCCGCAGAATCTGAGCCCCTTCCTCTCTCCATAGGCGTGATGGTTGTGGCGTCAACTGGATTGGACTGAAGGATGCAAGGTGTGATCCCTCCGGTGTGTCTGAGAGGGTATTGCCAAGGAGATTAACATTTGAGTCAGTGGACTGGGAAAGGCAGACCACCTTCATCCGGTGGGCACCATCTAATCGGCTGCCAACTTCCAGCCAGAATAAAAAGCAGGCAGAAGAGCATTGAAAAGACTAGACTGGCTTAGCCTCCCAGCCTCCATCTTTCTCCCATGCTGACCTTTCTGCCCTCAAACATCAAACTCTAAATTCTTCAGCTTTGGGACTCAGACAACCCCTGCTCCTCCAGCGCTTGCAGAAGGCCTATTGTGGGACCCAACTTGTGATCAGTGAGTTAATACCTTTGTCATCCAACGTATATATCTATCTATTGGACTGTCTCAGAATCTAATACAACAGATAGCAACAATGGCACTCTAGCTGGTCACATAACTTTGAGGTTACAGAGCCCTGTATTGGCCGAGCTGGCCCAGCCCTCGTTCTATAGAACTCAGGGGTGACACTCCCACCCAAGGAGTCCCAAAGACAGACATCAGCTCCTGGGCGCAACCAGGCTGGAGAGAGGCAGGTGAAACTTCTGTTTGGTTCCATTTTCCTTGTAGAGCACTGTTCTCCCTCCCTGCTCACTGGAGAACATGGTATTTGGGGTCAAGGGTTTCTCTTTTTGGAAATGCTTCCCAAGCACTGAGCCTGGCAGGCTGAGGGCAGGTATCCTAGCTCTGAGGTTTGGTATTGCCATCCCTCATGAGATAACGATGAGGTCTCAGGCTTTGCGAGGGGAAGGCAGGCATTACCTCTCTCTTTGGGAATAGCCACTGAAAACCAACACTAATAAATACCCACATAAGGGCTGTCCCACAGCCAAACGGGGCACTCATCTGTGATCTCACCCAATCCTCACAGCAGCTCCTGCCTGGGAAAGCCTTTCATACTTCCATTTCTCAGATGAGGAGCAGAGAGAAGGGACAGGCCACAGGCCACCAGCCGGACTGAGCCCCAGCGCCGACTCTGAGTCTGCTAATAAGTGGTTTCCAGGAGGAAATAACACATATGGAAGGACATCCACAGAGCTGAGCCATTCTCTTCCCAGCCAGCTAATGACGCTGTGTAGCGCCTCTCACTCCCTCCTTTTACCTCAACCACTCTTGCACTAGCCCTGACAGTTCAGCCAGTGTTACATCCCAGGCCCCTCCCGCTCCCCTAGCTGGTCACCCAGCCTTCCACCCCACTCCTCCTAGCACCACCCATTCCTCTCAGCTCCACAGAAACAAGCCCGTTATACGGAAGGCGGCAGAGGGCTGTGAACTTTCCCTAGATTCAGAACTATGGGGGCAGTAAGACCCACCAGTTCCCACTCCCCCAGATGACCACGTATACTCTCTGGAAACTTCCTGGGGCAGCCTAACTGCGCCTCCGTCTCCCTTTCCTAAGTTTACTTACCCCGAACCGGCCCATCATCATCCTGCAAACAGAACACAGAGAGAGCCGTGAGACGGGTCACTCAGAGCGCAGTTCACAACCAGCACATGGAGGATGAGGGACAGAGCCAGCCAGAAAGCTGGGCCCTCGGCCGGGCGCGGTGGCTCAAACCTGTAATCCCAGCACTTTGGGAGGCCGAGACGGGTGGATCACGAGGTCAGGAGATCGAGACTCATCCCTGGCTGACACGGTGAAACCCCGTCTCTCTACTAAAAATACAAAAAGCTAGCTGGGGCGAGGTGGCGGGCGCCTGTAGTCCCAGCTACTCGGGAGGCTGAGGCAGGAGAATGGCGTGAACCCGGTTGGCGGAGCTTGCAGTGAGCTGAGATCTGGCCACTGCCCTCCAGCCTGGGCCTCAGAGCGAGACTCCGTCTCAAAAAGAAAAGCTGGGCCCTCACTGCCCAGGTAAAGGCCTACTGATAAGAATGCAAGTCACGATGTGCTCGTTCCAGCCCACTCTAATGATAAGCGAGAGAGGTGCTTGTGTGGATTATTAACGTTTGTACAAAATCAGCAGCCAATCACCATCTCTATTTGCACATTGACCACTCTATTAATGTTGTTTGGAGGGGAGGTACTTAAATCAGACAGAGTGGTTATCACGAAAGATTTCAGCAGACAACAAGTCTTCCAGCAGTCATGGAATGCTCAAAACACAGGCTGGGCCAGAGCACGTGGCTCACCACGCTGTAATCCCAACACTGGGAGACAGAAGTGGGTCGATCACTTGAGGTCAAGAGTTCGAGACCAGCCTGGCCAAAAATGGCGAAAACCCCATCTCTGCTAAAAATGCAAAAATTAGCCGGGCGTGTGGTGGCAGCAGCTGCAATCCCAGCTACTTGGGAGGCTGAGTCAAGGAGGATCACTTGAACCCAGGAGGTAGAGGTTGCAGTGAGCAGGGTGCGCAGTGCACTCAGCTGGGCAACAGAGTGAAACTCTGTCTCAAAAACAAACAGACAAAACAACAACAACACCCAAGACTGGAGACCAGCCTGGCCAAAGTGGCAAAACCTCCTCTAAGAAAAATACAAATAAATTAGCTGGGTATGTGGCATGCGCTGTAGTCCCAACTATTTGGGTGCCTAAGGTGAGAGGATCGCTAGAGCCTGGGAGGTCAGAGCTATTACTGAGGCTGGGGATCGCATCCTGCATGGCCTGGGCAATGGAGCAAGACCCTGTCTCAAATAAACAAACAAGCAACCACAAGGTTGCAGGTTACTCATTTCAGGAGTAAACACAATGTACTTGCAGGACTTTTGGAACTAAAGGATCTGGGGGAACCATAAGGCCGGGCCCTGATCTCAGGCAGCGGCAGTGGAAGCAATGAGGGAGACAGGAGTGGTGAGCAGCTTCTCCTCAAAGATTCCCAGTGAGTGAGTGCACAGATCCTTTCCATGCTCCTTCGAGAGGGAAGAAAGTCTTTATTTTGTTCTCAAATTTCTCTAGGCTAGGTCCTTTAAGCTCCATCTTATATAATAAGCACTTACTTGAGCATACCATGTTGCAGGCTGTGCAGATACAGTAATTAATATCCCCTGGAGATAAACACTATGTGGCCCTGCCCTCAGATGCCCTGGGAGTGAAAGACCTGGTAAGCCAATATATTTCAATGTTGGTCACATGTGTCCAGAGCAGCGGGAACTAACAGGAAGTCAAAGCTCCTGCTTGGCAGACAGGAGGGCTTCTGGAAGGGGCGACCTCATGGCGCCAGCCACCTCTTGAAGAAGGAACACTGAGACTGGATGGGAGATGGCAATGCTGCCTTAGGAAACTGAAAGTGGATCTTTGGGCTGCTGGTTTTCAGCAGACATTCGATGATTCAAATGTTCCGTCAGAGCCTCTGCAGCCATGGGGAGGAAGGAACAGGGAGACCAGGATGGGATAACCAGCCCTGAGGAAAACCACCTGGGGCATCAGCCTGGAGAGGTGACCCAACCTCTCCTCTATCCGGCCCTGGCTGTGGGGATGCTGACTCAGGCTAGAAAATCCCAACTCCTTCATACTGCTCAGTGCTGTCTGGTATCTGATTGAGGTGGCTTCCTGGAATCTCCCTGCCTGACTTTAGGTGCTCCCTCCTCCTGGAAATTCCTTAGGGTCCTAAGGCCGTGCCCACAAGCCCCTGTGTTGGGACTGTGCATGCCTGTGGATGCATCGCCATCAGCAGGATGGGTCACCCTGGAGAGGAGAGAAACTGCACTCAGCCTACCTCTCAGTGTTTCTGTTGACCCAGCAGGGAGGCGGGCATGCAGCGGGCCCTGATTGCCACTTACCACTGGTGAATAGCTGAGACCATTCTCCACCCTTGCTCATTCTCTGTCTCTGGACCATTCTAGTTTTATGGCAGGGGCCCCAGCTCCTCTGTGCTATCCTCATATGGGACCCCCTCACCTAGAGGACTCCTATCTGGCATGCCCACCACCCAACAATGTGCACAGGCCATTCCTGCACAAGGAGGCAGAGTCTGTTTCCTGCAGCTTGATCCAGGATGACCCGTGACTCACTTTGACTCACAGATTGAGATATAGGTATGGAGGTCAAGACAAGGCCTCAAAGGGCCTGCAGCTGCATTCTCACTCTCTCAGGACTCTGAGGGCACCCTGGGAAGATGCCCAGCTCTGTAGGAGGAAAGGGACCCAGGGGAGGCCAACACCAACCACCAGAAGGTAGGGAGCCCATCTTGCCTCCCAGCCCCCCAACCAGCCTTCAATTGTCTGCATCATATCAGCAACCCCAGCGAGACTAGCTGAACAACCACCACCCAGCTGAGCCCAGCCTACATTGCTGACCCACAGAATTGTGAGCAGCAAAATGAAACGGAGTATTGTTTCAAGCCACTTTCATTTTGGGGTGACTTGTTACACAACAATAAACAACTAAGACACCAGCCCAATCCCAGTTCCTCGTGAGCAGCCCTTCTCCTACTGCTGAATAGGCAGAGCTGCTGCAAGGCCTCTACTGTGCTGGGCACAGAACCACATTCTCACATCCTCCCCTCCTCCAGCTCTCCTGGCTACGCCACGGGCCTGGGAGGCAGACTTGGAGGGGCCTCTTCATGGGCCTCTGCACATGCGTCAGCCTGCACTCCACTGTCTATCATCTTACCTGACAGCTTGCAAGCCACGGTGGTTTCACCAATGATTACGATTTTGAAATACCATCCATGAATTCACAATGCAGTAATTAATCACTCTGTGAACTTAGCTGATGGATTAGCTGAGACAATCAATTTTTAAATGTTCTCTTTCATCTGAAACAGGTTTAGTCAAGAGGCACAAATGCAGTGAATTCTAAAGGTCTTAGCAGGTTATCACAAGGAGTCCTTAAAACCACATACCACAGATACTGTTTGATTTGCTATTTTCAATAGATTTGAAGACTTTTAGACTTCTGAACACCTGCCCTCTGGCTTTCTCTAGGAGATAAGAGATGAAGCAGGCAGGTGTCTGTCAAAGGAAAGTTCTGGTTTAAACATGCAACTCTTGCCTCAGCGGCGCTAATGTAGATGGATAAATGAACCCGAGACAATGGGTCTCTCTAATCATCCTAGCTCTCTCTGCCTGCCCCACCTTGCAATGTTCTTAAAGCTCACCTTTTAAGATAAGAGGAATGAAAAAAATTCAAAGGTTGTGGAAGGTAACTCAGTTCTAATGTTAAAAACTCTGAAGAAAGTGTGCAGAGGGAGGGAGAGCTGGGTGGGAACAAGCATGAAAATCCATGCGCAGTTTACAGTGAAGGGCGTGGAGTGGAAGCAGCCCCACATGTGCCGGCGTCCCTGGCTGAAGTGGCAGCCTGGGGCCCTCACTCCACTTTCAGGGGCAACCCAGGCCTGGAAGGGCAGAGCAGGGGTCCACTTACTCTGTGGTTGTGGTCAGCTCCTCCGAGATGTGGCTGGAATGCAGCAGGCCTTCCCGCTTCTGAAAACCCCAAAATAAACACACAAAATCAGGCAGTGGAGAGAGGGTGAGAAGGGACCTTTTTGAGCAGATGAAGCTGCGGTGTCAGGAATGTCATCTTAAACAGCAACAGGAGAAGAGGAATTGGTATTGGCCAGACATGCATGCCAGGCCTGGGTGGTGCACAGCAGTGGACCCTGCGCAGAGTGCCTCGCCCAGCCACAGCCTGTCCCCTCCTCCTCCCACCCTCTGGTCCACATGGCCCTGAGGGTTGGCATTTGTGTGGGTCTCGGAGCTTTGGTCAGGTTTCCCCAAAAGGGAGTTCTCTATACTTTGCAACCAGGAGAAGTGAGGCATACAACTGGAAGGAACATAATTAACAGGGAACATCCCTGCAATCATGTGTGTACACAGGACTGAAAGAAGATTGCCCCCAAAGTTACAAATTTCAGAATGTGATCTCACTTGGAAATAAAGTCTTTGCAGATACTGGCTCAGATGAGGTCATCATGGATTATAGTGAGTCCATCTTAATCTATTATGGCTCACATTCTTATTAGAAGAGGAAATATACACAGAAACAGATGGAAGCGAAGAGAGGCCGGTATGACAGAGGCAGAGACTAGAAATGTGGCCACAAGCCAAGAACACAAGGACAGTGGCCACCACCAGAAACTTGGAGGAGCGGAGATCCCTCCCCAGAGGAAGATGTGAGGACATCCTACCACAGGCAATCTTGGTTAGACTTCTGGCCTCCATAATTGCGAGAATAAATGGCTGCTGTTTTTAAGCCACCTGGTTTGTGGTACTTTTCTGCCCTAGAAACTGATACAGTATATGTCACACTTTTCCCAGGAGCGCGGAGTATCAAAAGCAATGATGGCCAGAGCAGTGGCTCACGGCTGTAATCCCAGCACTTTGGGAGGCCGAGGCAGGCAGATCACAAGGAACAAAGAGATAGAGACATCACAGCCAACACGCTGAAACCCGTTTCTACTAAAAATACAAAAAATTAGCTGGGTGTGGTGGCGCGCGCCTGTGGCTCCCAGCCACTTGGGGAGATGAGGCAGGAGAATCGCTTGGTTCCCAGGAGCGGAGTTGCAGTGAGCTGAGATTACATAACACTGCATCCCGCTTGGGTGACAGAGTGGTCTGTCTCAAAAAAAAAAAAGGAAAAAGAAGTGATGGTAGTGAGGGAGGCATGGCAGTGGTGACGGTGAGACAGCAGCCCACCTGTGGGGCTCCAGGTGGAGTCTGGGTGGCTGTTCACAACCACCACTGAACCCCTCAAGGGACCAGAACTCCACTTCCCATGGGCCAGCCCACAGGGGACACCTACCTCAAGATCTGACTTCCACATCCCACTTTCCTGAGTTTGACCCCAGAATACTCAGGGTTGGTCTTGTTATTGAACAACAGTGTGGGTGACGCTTATCCCGATTCTCAGGAGTGCCTGCCAAAGGAAGGTCCAGTGCTGTGTTCACTAGTCACGGATCAAACGTGCCTGAGGCACCACACCAGGAATCACTGGGCCCAGTCTAGGATTGGAGACATGCAGTTGGATGTTTCACAGGTTTGTAGTAAAATCTCTCGGGGTTTATGGGGAAACATTGCAGCTCAGCAAAAGAGCAAACGATCAGCCCTAAACCCAGAAGTGGCCAGGCAGTAAATAAGGTCCTTTGCCTCCTTCCTTCCAGCCTGGAAATGCCACATCCCCTTACACCAACACTCCATCCTGAGGTGATAAGGAGTCGGCTGAGCAAGCTCAAGAGAGCCACAGCCTCCATCTGGGGTTGAATGAGGATCCATGAGCAAGCTCAGAGCCACAACCACTCCATCTGGGGTTAGATAAGGGTCGGCTGAGAGCAAACTCAGAGCCACAACCACTCCATCTGGGAGTTGGGCAGAGTCGTGAGCAGCTCCAGAGGCACAACCACTATCCCTAGGGTTAGATAAGAGTCCGCTGAGCAAGCTCAGAGGCCACAACCTATCTGGGAGTTGTAGATAAGGGGTCGGTTGAGCAAGCTCCAGAGGCCACAACCACTCCATCTGGGGTTAGATAAGGAATTGATGAGCAAGCTCAGAGGCCACAACACTCCATCCTGGGGTTAGATGAGGTCGGCTGGCTCATAGCTCAGAGCCACAACCACTCCATCTGGGGGTTGATAAGGGGGTCCCAGCTGAGCAAACAGAGGCCACAACCTCCATCAGGGTTCGATAAGGGTCATGAGCAAGCTCAGAGGCCCTGACCTTCCTCTGGGGTTAGATAAAGGGGGTCTTTGACAAACTCAAGAGGCCTGTCCTCCATCTGAGGTTAGATAAGGAGTCTCCATCTGGGGTTAGATAAGGGGTCCGCTGAGCAAGCTCAGAGGCCAGGGGGCTGCAGAGAAGAAAGAAGGCGGCTCTAAGGTCTGGGGAGTAATGGCGCCCAGTTCACAGGACCCCCTGCTCCCGTTTCATTCTCCTTTGGTCATGGTCCAAACAACACTTCTCTAACCCGTTATGGCAGGAAGCACCAGCAAGTGCTTGCCTGGTTCAAACTTTCTGCAAACCCCAAAGATTATCTTGGACTCAAGTGCAAGCCTGAAAGGAAATACTCCGGTTTCTGAGCCTGCACAGGGCTCCTGGGGCCCCGAGCTGACGTAGGTGGGCTCGGGAACCATATCCCCATGTGTCCTAGGGAAGCCTTTTCAGGCCGGCTGCCTGCGAACCAGTGGCCAAGACAAGGTGCCATAGGAATGGTCCCCCAGGTCCCGAGACACCACCACCAGCCACAAACATCCTCCTTAGGAAGGAAACATGGAGACATGGCAGGTGGCCCTCGCCTGATGCCAGAGAGGAGCATTCCCGTCCAGTCAAGACTGAGCTCCCAGGGTAACGGAGGGGTCAGAATGGGTTCAGAAAACACAGTGGCAGCCAGGTCCTCGCAGACCACAGAGACCACAGGACCGAGAAGTTTAAAAACCAGAGGAAAGTGGAGCCGGATGTCTCAAGTTAAATAAACACGGAGGCATCCAAGGTTCTGAGTGCAACCTTAATTCTGGCAGCAGTGGTCGCCCCCGCAGACCCCAGGCGTGTGTTCCTCCTTTAGTGGCTCGGCAGCCTATGTTGAGTGCTTAGAGGATAGTAGGCGCTCCGTGCACGTTTACTGAGGGAAACTGCATACACGAACCCTAGACAGCGACTGTCCACTTAAATGTAAGGGAAACAAAGCCAGGCATGGCTGCTCCCACCTATACCAGCACTTTGGGAGGCTGAGATGGGAGGATCACTTGAGCCCAGGACTTCGAGACCAGCCTGGGCAACATAGTGAGTCCGTCTCTACAAAAATTTAAAATTAGTCAGGCATGGTGGCATGTGCCTGTAGTCCTAGCTACCTGAGAGGCTGAGATGGGAGGATCACTTGAACCCAAGAGGCTGAGGCTGCAGTGAACCGTGACTGCACCACGGTACTCCAGCCTGGGCAACAGAGTGAAACCCTTTCTCAAAACATAAAATAAAATAAAAAATAAATGTGAGGGAAACAGCAAGAGAAAGGTAACTCTACTTCACCCTCTGTAAGAAGGACCTGGGTTCTGGTTCCATTTCTCCAAGTGAATCAAGAGAAATGAACCCAAAAAAAGAGATGACGGGGCATGATGAATAATCCACGGCGAATGCAAAGCGGCTTTAATTTGGGTGTCTGTTTCATCCCGCGGGGCCAACCTCCTCCAATGAGTAATAAGCACATTCAAGGGGATTGAATTCCAACCAGTTGGCTTTGGAGAGAAATGAATGTTCTTTTCAAAAATGTGGAAAATTAAACCTCAACACCCTCCTGCCTCTGCTTCTGCCTCTCATCAAATCAATGCCATTGTTCCCGTTCCAATCATTTATCTCGGAGCCAGGGTGAGACACACATTTTGTCAAAAGGGAAAAATAGAAGGTAGCCTCCTGGGGGGAAAAAAGGAGGGGGAGGGCAGGAAAACTGCAGGAGGAAGAAGACGTTGCCTCTCTGGCGGAGTTACGGGCAGGCCGACTGCTCGGTTATACTCACCCGCACGACCACCACCTGCACCGTTACATGCTCAGGAAGGCGGATGGGGGCCCTGAAGTGCATGGCCAGAGAGACCAGCAGGTGGAGGATGGCCACCAGGTTCTTCCCATGAATTGCTGCGGGAGGGAGGAGGAAAGGAGATGCTTTAGATCGGGTGACACAGGAACCCGAGCCCACGTGCAGAAGGCAACAGAGACACAGCATCTAAATGAGACCCCAGCAAGGCAAGGACGGAGCGAAGTGTGGACAAGTAAAGAGAGTTGATGAGCAACCTGGTGAAGTCATTTCTGGTTTCAATGTCTCCTCTCCTGTTGGCCTAAGGTGACTTGTGCAGACACTTTTAGAAGCACAATGGTTTTAAAAGCAATAAATTGGGCAGTGACGAGGGGAAGGAACACGATAGTAAAATTAGCACACAAGGGAAAAGATAATGGAAAGCAGGTCACGGCCACTTAACCATCACAAGGATGTGCGTTATCATCTCTGGCACTAAAAAAGGGCTCCCTCTACACAACGAACCATCCCAACAAGGGTAGGCTGCCAAGGGCAGAGGCTGCTCTGGGGACATTAGCCATTCGCCCCCGCCTTGCCAGAGTCTGTCCCCTCTCCCCCTCGGCATGCAGACTCAGGTTTGGTCACCATCACCACTTCTCCTCCACAGGGTTTTACAGTTTACGAGGCACCTGATTCCCCACCCACGGACCCAGCAACCCACGAGACAGCCTGGGTCTGCCCAAGGTCTCGATGCGAAGAAACCAGGTGCAGGGCCAGGCTCCAGGGTCTCCTGCCCACCGCTGAGAGCCCAGCTCACCAAAACACAGAGACCTCTGGCCCTGCACAGAGAGCCCTGAAGCCACACCCTGACAGCCTTGCTTCAAGGGGAAGGAGGTGGGGAAGGAGTGGGCAGCACCAAGGAGAACTTTCTCCTGGTTTAGTCTTTCACCTTCTGGGTTCATGTCTTGGCTGAAAATACCATGATGTCACATCTCCTAATGCCAGGGTCATAGGCAAACAGCCCACTAGGTGTTGCTGCCACCGGTATTTGGGGTTAAGTCCCAACAAGAACCCCCCAAGGCTGCTTCTCTCTCGAAGTCCCTCTGAGTCACCCGTCCATAAACATTGCCTCTCTCCTCTGCAGTGTGGGGAGGATGGAGAATCGTGGCCTGACCAGGTACCTTTTCTAGGAGCTCCCTAACCCTTCTCCTGTTCTTCTCCCCTGCAATGCTCTACCTCTTAAGGCACAGGGAGATGAACCCAATTCTAAGATGCAAGGCCAGATGGGATGATGATGAATGTGGATGACAAATGTGGATGACAAATGTGGATGACGAATGTCGAGAGGACGGGCTCCCTCCAGACACTCCCTCCCCCCGCGGTGTGGAACTCACAGTCCACGCTCCACCGGAGCGCCCAGCCGCGGGGCCGCAGCAGGTCATGTACTGCTTCCAACACCGTCTGCAGCTTCTGTTTCTGCCCTATTTCGGACTGTGTCACCTCAGCCACATTCAGCTTGCATCCTGCCAGTTTTTCTGCAATGAGAAGGACAAGAGGAGAGGGTCAGAAAAAGCTGGAAGGGCCAGGCATGGTGGCTCATGCCTGTAATCCCAGCACTTTGAGAGGCCGAGGTGGGTGAATCACTTCAGGCCAGGAGTTTGAGACCAGCCTGGCCAATATGGTGAAATACCATCTCTGCTAAAAATACAAAAATTAGCCAGGCATGGTGGTACATGCCTATAATCCCAGCTACTCAGGAGGCTGAGGCAGAAGAAGTGCTTGAGCCCGGGAGGTGGAGGTTGCAGTGAGCCAAGATCACATCATTGCACCCAAGCCTGGGCAACCTGAGTGAGACCCTGCCTCAGAAAGAGAGAGAGAGAGAGAGGGAGGAAGGAGAGAGAGAGGAAGGAAGAAAGGAAGGTAGGAAGGAAGGGAGGGAGGGAGGGAGGGAGGGAGGGGAGAGAGAAAGAGAGAGAGAGAGAAAGGAAGGAAGGGAGGAAGGAAGAAAGGGAGGGAGGGAGGGAGGGAGGGAGGGAGGGAGGAAGGAAGGAAGGAAGGAAGGAAGGAAGGAAGGAAGGAAGGAAGGAAGGAAGGAGAGAAAGAGAAGAAAGAGAAGACAAAGAAGAAAAAGAAGAGAACAAAGAGAAGAAAGAAAGAGAGAAAGAGGAAGGAAGGAAGGAAGGAAGGAAGGAAGGAAGGAAGGAAGGAAGGCAGGCAGGCAGGCAAAGTGAAAAGAGAGAGATGCTGAAGGAACTCAGAACCACCAGGACTGACCCTGGCCTCAAGGAGGTCCCCGAAGTGGGACAAGTTACCACGTGGCCAAGGGGGCATCTTGAGATGTTGAACCATGGAACTCTGAGCTTTCAGGTCACTAATCTTCCTTAGAGAATGACTCCAGATTGAAAAGGGAAGAAGAGTTAAGGATAAAACTGTGGGTGTTACACTAGGGAACATTCTATGCATACAAAATGGAAAAAACATAATTCAAGATGCAATTGAGAGGCAAAGAGTTTACCTAGGAAGAACGAGAGAGGGGGTCAGGAGGTGAGAAGACCGTCCGTGTGGGTCCCAGAAGGGAGAGGACTGATAAAGATAATTTTTTAAAAGGTCTTAGAAGCTGCCTCTGCCTCCCCACACACCTGAGGCTCCCATTCTTGTTTCTCTAACATTCTGACACCACAATAGGAAGTTAGATTAGATATTCACAGAACTGGCGATGATTTTATTACCGAGAATGAACAGGAAGCAATCTGGAGGAGCACAGACAAGAACTGTCACATTTCGTCAAGATTCAATTACTGAGGCTGAGTTCCAGCCGAGCCTGCACCTCCTTCAATTTCCCTTTTGTTAGCAGTAGGTACTGGCAGGTGCCGGCCACCAGCGCCCCACCCCATGCCTGCTACAGGGTTACACGGCAGGAAGGACCCCCAGTTTCCCTGCTAGTCTTCAATTCTAAGACTCCAGTGTTTACCGACAGATCCCCTCTGCAAAACAACAAAAGCGACGTCACAGAGCATCGTGAGATGGTTCACTGGGAGGGTGACAGCAAGCAGCACAGAGCCTTCAATACACAGCTGCTGTTGGTGACGCAGGCATTGACGGGCGATCATGAAAGCAATCAAGTCCAGGCTGGTCACAAATGGGGTTTCTGTTTTGCAGGTGATTCCCAGCACAAAGTTCTGTTGAAAGCATTTTAGCCAGAGGCCCCTATGTCTTCAGTGTTATCTCCCCAGCAGCCTCCCCTCCCTCAATTAGAAAACAAACCGCTATGGTATCCTTTTCAGGATAATAAAATTCTAGAGCAAGGCCTGCTGGGCTCGGAAAACCCCTTCAATCCTTCGTTTGTTGGCTCACAGATAGGGACTGAACACCTACTATGGGACAGGCACTATACTAGGTGCTGGATATGGCACAGATAACAGAGGTTCCTAGTGGGGAGATAGATACTCGTAAATAACATCAGATTGAGCGGCAGTGACTGCAAGAGAAAAAACAAAGCAGCCCAACAAAACGCATCCTGCAGGGGAGTGGAAATGATTCCCGCTTATTCATCTTATTTCCCTCCATCTGGATCTCACAGTTCCTCGCTGAGTCATCCACAGCTGTCTGTCTGAATTTGCGCCCTGGAAGTAGAGAGCAAGTAGGTCCCACAGGTGTTCAACAACCACAGACAGGGCAGAGCAGGGCAGCTTGGAGAAGGAAGGAGAGAGGATTATACGGAACTGGGTGGTCCGAGAGTCTCACCCACCAGGGAGATGGGGAGCCTGACGCGCCCCCGTTGCACCTGCCACCATCCGGCCCCGCAGACTGAGCATGGCCACGTCACCCAGGGTGGAGGAAGAGGAGTCGGCAGAGGAGCGGAGGACACTGGATTCATTTGCCTGGGCTGCTGCAACGAAGCATGCCACAGACCATGCGGCTTAAACAACGGAGATTTATGTCACAGCTCTGGAGGCCAGAAGTCCAAGATCGAGGCACCGGTAGGGTGGACCCATCTGAGGCCCCTCTCCCGGCTTGTAGACAGCTGCTGTCTTCTTCCTGTGTCCTCACTCGGTCTCCCTCTGTGCACGTCTGTGTCCCAATCTCCTCTTTTTATAGGAACCCTAGACATATTGGATTAGGGCCCACCCACTCGTATAGCCTCATTTTACCTTCATCACTTTTTTTTGTTTTTTGAGATGGAGTTTCACTCTCGTCACCCAGGCTGGCGTGCAACGGCACCATCTCAGCGCATTGCAACCTCCGCCTCCCAGGTTCAAGCAATTCTCCTGCCTCAGCCTCCCAAGTAGCTGGGATTACAGGTGTGTGCCACCACGCCCAGGTAATTTTCGTATTTTTAGTAGAGGCGGGGTTTTGCCATGTTGATCAGGCTGGTCTCGAATTACCGACCTCAAGTGATCCACCCACCTCAGCCTCCCAAAGTGCTGGGATTACAGGTGTGAGTCACCATGCCTATCCTATTACCTCTATAAATACAGTCACGTTCCGAGGTTCAACCTGCAGGTCTGGCTGGTAGCAGGGACAGCGGGGGCCTGCCAGGCTACCCATCTCTCCTAGTGGGCGAAGCTCTCATACCTTGCAATGTGCCTGTATTTAAAGAGGCAATTAAGGTAAAATGAGGTCACATGGGTGGGCCCCGCATGTAGGACTTGAACATAGGAATTTGGCAGTGGAAACAGCAGGCAACAGAGACCAAAGAGACTGGCCATGCCTGGGTGCTGCCTTAGGCTGGGTCTTGGGTGACTCCTGTGCAGCAGAGAATATGGCACATGATCACCTGCATCATCAGACATCACTGTGCCCACTGGCAGGGGCTGCAGGAGCAGCTCAGGGCTCCATCGTGGCCAGGACTCCTATCTTCCTAGCACAGAAAGAGAGAAACTTGGGGAGGATTCTCCCACGTAGCAGGTGACCCAGAGTGATGGCCACATGTGGGGTTGAGTACACATGTGAGGAAGAACCTCACCTTCACAAGGAGAGGGCGTGCCCATGAGTGAGCAGCAGGATGACAGTCAGGAGCTCCCGCAGCACGGGCACCTCACTCTGACCATATGCAGTCTACTTTGAGGGCTGCACTGCAAACACAGGGGAGCTACACCCCCAGAAACCTGGCATGTGGCAGAGTACCCAGGAGTTGCTTTCAGAATCTTCTCTCAAGAAGAGGGACTCAGCTGGGTGTAGTGGCTCATGCCTGTGATCCCTACACTTTGGGAGGCCAAGGTGGGAGGATCGTTTGAACCCAGTTCAAGACTAGCCTGGGCAACATGGCAAAACCCTAGCTCTACAGAAAATACAAAAATTATCTGGGCATGGTGGTATGCATCTGTGGTCCCATCTACCTGGGGAAGCTGAGGTGGGAAGATCATCCAAGCCTAGGGGGTCAAGGCTGCAGTGAGCTGTGATCACACCACTGCACTCCAGCCTGGGCAACAGAGTGAGACACTATCTGAAGAGAAAAAAAAAAAAAGAAGAGGGACTCCTCTGGGGTCCTGCTGGTTCACTCTGGGTAATTTCTACACAGCCAAACTAGAGGTCTGTTCTCTTTCCTCCTCTCACTCCCTCTCACCTCCTAGAAACACCTCCTTTACCCCCCCCAAATGCAACACTCCTCTGGCTCCCCCTCCCTTGTGACTGACCCCTGTCAGACTCCTTTGCCAGAACTTCCTCTTCCTGACCACTAATGGCTGACAGCCCAGGCCCAGTCCTCAGACCTCTTCTCTACTCCAGATGCACAGAAGTTGGCTTTGACCTTGGTATTTAGCTAAAATCTCCTATTTGGTTTGGGCTTCTGCCCTTGGAAAGCCAAAGAGCTGAATGCCTACATCGGTGTCATTCCTGGCATCCTGGAGCTCAAGGATCAGGTGATCACATCAGTAATATCACATCAAGAGTATATCACATCAATAGTATATTATGTTTTTTCAGTGTAACAACATTCACAAAACCAGACAAGACATTCTGACGCTCTGTTACTATCTGAATATTCTCGTCCATTGTTCTTTTTTCATTAAAAAAAAGTGCTATTAATATGTCAAACCACTTGACACTCAGAGATTTTAGAATTGCCTTCTCAAGTGCTTATGCCATTATTCAAACAAGATGGAACAGCAGCTACTCCACAAGAAAAAGGCTGCTTGAACCAAAGGAAGCCTCATGTTATACTTTATGGATAACACAACCGAGGTAGCAGGACTCATGGACAATCACAGCAACTCCAGAGTAAGTGCTGCATTTGCCAGTGCTAACTGAAGAGGGAACCAAAAGGATGTGTCTTGAGAGGGGAGGATGCGGCTTTAAAGATGCCCCTGTAATTCTACTCCATAGAAGGCACTGGCATGGTTTACAGGCAACCATGGCTGAGATGCAGATGCAAATTCAGAGCCTGTCCTGAGATTCTGAGGGCCAGTTCCATAGCCAGGCTGCCAGACACAAGGCTTGCGGACATACTGTTTCAACTCATTGGGTGGGAGAAGCCACAGGTGCAGGCAAAAGAATCAGAAATGAAAAATGAAAGTGAACAAAACATTCAAGTTTGCTTCTGAAAATATTAGAAAGTATCTGCTTCAGGCAGGGAGCAAAGTACCAATTGGAGGGACTGCTTCAACAGAGGGCCAACACCAGCAACAGCCAAATCTTCACATCCAAGATCTCCAGGATGGTCCACGGGGAGACCCTTCCACCAGGATGGGGCTTGTCTGTGGGAGTGACCCTCCAGGACGGCCCACGGGAGACACTTCCACCAGGATGGGGCTTGTCTGTGGGAGTGACCCTCCAGGATGGCCCATGGGGTGACCCTTCCACCAGGATGGGGCTTGTCTGTGCAGTCCATCAAAGCAGGGAGGTTGAGCAGAAAAGCAAAACCCCAGACAGAGGATCTGCTGACCCCACCAATGCTGGGGATGACATGGGTGGAATCTCTTGCTGACCTTGAAGAGGTATGCTATCCCACGTACACGGGGATACTGAGTTCTTGAGGCCACTGTCATAGGCATTTGGGGACCCTGAAAACATATCAGAGCTCTATGAGAACCGAAAGACTGTTCAGCAAATAGCTGATCCCTTCCAGAGTTTGTGGATGGCACTGAGGACCAAAAATCCAAACAATACTCATTTATCTGTCCCCGTTTCATTTCCCACAAGAGGATCCCACAATCTTTATAGGTAATGAAACTGCAAGAATTTTTTCATTGACTTAATCAACAAATGTTTATCATGCGTCAGTCACCCAGGGGACTTGGGGTGGATGGGGTACCCAGCAGGGAGTCAGACACTCCTTATTTCTGCTCTTGGCATTTATTTATCTGTTTAAAAAACAACAGTAATAACAACTCCCGCTTATTGATGACAGACCTGTGCCAGGCACTGTGCCAGGGGCTCCACACATGTAATTTCAGCAGGCAGCTTGGATGGTTTCCAGTGGACAGACATGAAAAGGAGCTACTATGGCCAGGCACAGTGGCTCATGCCTGTAAACCCCACACTTTGGGAGGCCGAGGTGAGTGGACTGCTTGAGCTCAGGAGTTCAAGACCAGCCTGGGCAACATGGCAAAGCCTCATACCTATAAAAAATACAAAAAATTAGTCAGGCATGGCGGCATGCACCTGTACTCCCAGCTACTCAGGCAGCTAAGGTGGAAGAATCACCTGAGCCTGGGAAGTGGATGCTGCAGTGAGCCATGATTGTACCACCGCACTCCAGGTCAGCCAATGGAGTGAGACTCTGTCTCAAAAAGAAAAGGAGCTGCAGCAACCACAGCCTCACTCCCTTCCTCTCTCTCCCTCTCAAAATTATGCATCTCAAAGGCATAGTTCTCTGTCCCTGAACCCTTCCTGATCAGGATGTTACCCCCACCACTGTGCTAAAACGGCTCTCATCTGGGCCACCAATGACCCATCAGGTGCCAAATCTAATGGTCAATACATTTGAGTGATGCAGAGAAATTGGAGTGTTGCAGGAGCAAGGGAGCCATTTTTTAATGGAAATATTACATCACGTCTGCACACTGAACAGTCCAGGGAAGACAGAAAGTGGCTACAGGAAAGATCAACCAAGGCACAACAGACCTGGGAAGCCCAGAGGTGAGAGGTGAAGCCTCTCCGAATTTGGTAAATCCTTCCTCTACAGTGGTCAGCTCAAGGAAGCAACTCATTACACTTGAGGTCAATAATTCTAGTTTCTTCAACATCTGAACGAGGATATTCCCACAATATTATTGGTGAAAGAAAAATACTAGAAATGACAAAAATGCCCCACATAGGAGACTGGGTGAGTAAACTAAGGAACATCCACACAGTGGAGTACAATGCAGCCATAAAGAAAAAGAAAGGTGGTCTCCACATGGAAGGTTTCCTAGAACACATCACTAAGTGAAACAAGCAAGGTGTGTAAAAGAATGTATAAAATACACCACCTTTTATGCCAGGAACAAAAGGGAAATGAGTAGTTGTGTGTATAGACATTTTTGTAAAGAAACATAAGAAGGATAAAATCAGAATCCATTGAAAATTGTTACCTGGGAGTGTATAGTGGAGTGTATAGTGGAAGAGAAAGCAGTGAGATCTCTCTCTCTCTCTCTCTCTCTCTCTCTCTGTCTCTCTCTCTTGAGACAGGGTCTCACGCTGTTGCCTAGGCTGGAATGCAGTGGTATAATCATGGCTCACTGCAGCTTCAACTTCCCAGGCTCAAGTGATCCTCCTGCCTCAGCCTCCTGAGCAGTTGGGAATACAGGTGCACATCACCACGTCTGGTAATTTGTAGAGACGAGGTCCTACTGTGTTGCCCAGGCTTGTCTCAAACTCTTGGGCTCAAGTGATCCTCCTGGCTCAGCCCCTCAAGGTGCTGGGATGATAGGCTGAGCCACCACACCTGGCTAGGACCTTTCAAGGTATGTCATTTTCATAGTTTTGACTTGTGAAGCATGTAAATGCTTTACATTTTTAAAAGTAATATTAATAAAATTAAGTGTAAACATATGCCAGGCACCGTGAGAACCCACTATGAGTCTGAGAATTCCTCTCATTCATCATCTGCGAACTCTGCTCTTCCGTTCTTTGCCTAGAAACTCCTGCTTGTTCTCCTGCGTGAGCTGCAAGGCTGCCCCGCCCCCAGGCCAGGCCAGGGTCCTCTCCTCAGAACCTGCGGCATCTCCGAAGGCCCTCATCACAACCAATCTGAACAGTAACTATTTGAAAATATTTGTCTTTTCAGACAGACTGTAAGATCCTGAGGATAGGGACCACGTCTGTTTCAAAGATCACTGTATCCGTGGCACCCAGCACTCGGGACTCATCGAATATCTGATGAATAAATAACCGCTTTGTCTGGCCATCAATCCATGTGTCAGTCAGTCCCGGGAAGATCACTAACCTGCCCTCGCCCAGCAAACGCAGACACTAGAGCCCGCCCCTGGTGAGGGAACGTGAGCTATCACGTATTTGGCGACACATTCACTCACAGAATATCGCTGGGGACTCGCTTCCCTCCCGCTACCTCCCATCCTGAGCTGAAGGAGCTCAAGATGAAAGCGGGTAGCAGGGACACAAAGTGGGTCTGAGCCCCAACAGAATGGGAGCCGCAGGCAGTTCTGGAAGCTGTCCCCAACCTGCTGCCGCCCCATGGCTGGGTGTTCTGTAGAAACGGCGAGGAGAGAGAGGACCCTGAAGCCACAGTCCAGGGCCCGAGGGCACCACCTGGGAAGGGCACACTGCAGCTTCTGGTGTCCTCCTAGGACCTGTGGACCATGTCACTATGCAGAGAATCCTGGCCCAGCCCAGGGCTGCTACAGGGAGATGGGGGTGGGACAGAGTTGTCCCTGCTGTGGACTCACCCAAGAGCTTCTGCAGCACCTGGCCGTCGTACAGGTCTTCCTCCAGCTGCTTCACAATGATCCTCTCCTCCACCAGCACGTCATTAATCCAGTCGAGGAGGACCTGCAGGAGACGCAGGCGTTACAGCCTCACTCCGCCAGTGCTACGGGGATGAGGCAGTGACCAGGGAAAGTGCAGACACAGAGACTGCACAGATCTGCAGCCACCAACAGGACCAGAGCAAGCACAGGGACAGAGGGTGCCCAGCTCTGGGACCACCACCAGGACCAGAGCAAGCCCAGGGACAGAGCGTGTCCAGCTCTGGGACCACCACCAGGACCAGAGCAAGCCCAGGGACAGAGCGTGTCCAGCTCTGGGACCACCACCAGGACCAGAGCAAGCCCAGGGACAGAGGGTGCCCAGCACTGCAGCTGCCAGAAGCAGAGCAAGTGGAGGGACAGAGGTTGCACGGTTCTGTGGCCACCAGGACCAGAGCAAACACAGAGACAGAGGCTGCACCACTCTGTAGCTACCACAAGGACCAGAGCAAGCTCAGGGACAGAGGGTGCCCAGCTCTGGGGCCAGGCTGCGCAACTCTGCAGCCACCACAAGGACCAGAACAAGCACAGGGACAGAGGCTGCACAGCACTGCAGCTGCCAGAACCAGAGCAAGTGCAGGGACAGAGGTTGCACAGTTCTGTGGCCACCAGGACCAGAGCAAACGCAGAGACAGGCTGCACAGCTCTGGGGCCGCCACCAAGTCGAGTTAGCACAAGGACAGAGGCTGCACAACTCTGCAGCCACTAGGACCAGAGCATCTGGCGTTCACCTTGGTATGGGTGGGGGACCAAATGATTCAGTATTGGTAATACTGCACTCTCCTCACCCCAAGAGAGTCAAGGTGACCTACAAGATGTCCATTCCTCCCTGGTCACCCTAAGCCTCAACCCACCCTAACCCAGAACAGCAAAGGGGATTTATGCATCATTACTGACAGGCTTGGTGTGCCCACCCTCAGCTGCATTTTTTATACATCCTTATTGAGATAGAATTCTCACTCCACACAATTCATCCTTTAAAAGTGTGTGATTCGATGGCTTTTAGGATATTCACAAAATTGTGCAACCATCACTACGATCCATTTTAGAACATTTTCAACCCTCCAAAGAAACCGAGGCCCATTAGCAGCCACTCTCCCCGTCTCCCTCCCACACCCCCTCATAGCCATGAATCCACTTCCCCTCCCCATGGATTTGGCTTTCTGGACATTTCATATAAACAGGAGCAGATGATGTGTGCCCTTTCGTGTCTGGCTTCTATCACTGAGTGTGTTTTCGAGGTTCATCCATGTTACAGCATGTTTCCGTCCTTCTTTCATATTCCATCTCATTGGAGACCACATTTTGTTTCTCCATCCCTTGGTTGACGGTTATTTCGGTTATCAGCCCTTTTTAGGTACCGTGAGTGGTGCTTACATGAACGTTCAGGTACAAATCTCTTTGCGGATGTGAGTTTCATTTTTCCAGGCCAGCCTTCCTCTTAAACCTTTTTGCAACAGATTTTCTATTCAGTTCACTGGGTGATACGCTTTAGAAGAAGATTGCTTCCATTGTGAAAGTACCTATGGAAAGATAGGACTCCCGCCGAACACAATTCCACCTGGCCAGTCCTGCTTCCGACACGTCTATTCCACAAAATAAAACGGACTCGATCTATGGCACGGAGTGCGTGATTTTCCTGTGCAAGGGAAACTAACGCAATGATCTAATTGGTCCCAGTAACCTCTCAGAAATGGGAGTTTATGGCCCCTCTCAGAGATGAACAAAAGGACACAAGTCCAGAATATACCGTCCCCTGTCACTCAGAAACAGCTGCAACCTGCGACATTGGCCATAAGGCAAATTTCTGTGAAGCACACTCTATTTTCCCAGTAACACAAAAATATCAAACCTGACACACAAGCCCACAAGGAACAGAGGTAAAAATAAATTAAAGGGCGGTTTGCAGGGAGAGGTGCATGGCCCTGTGGCATTCTGGTCTTGTCAACGCCACCTCTGAAGGTCAGGGGCACAGCACCAGACACCCTGCTTCCACCCTGGGCCATCTCTGCGAGGCGGCTGGCAGGGCAACGGAGAGCACTGGCCTGGGACTCCCAGGGATGCACCTGAACCCCCTCAGTTCCCAAGGAGCTGCCTCCCCCAACCCCCCATGGCCCACAGACCCCCACACTCACTGGCTTCCTGCCCTCCTCTTTCACCCTCTGCAGCCTCCCTTGGGGGATCCTCCCTGACTCCCCCAACCCTCACATGGCACGTTCCTGAGGGCCCTGAACAGTTCCCCTTCTCCCTCCCCACTCTCTTCTGAGGCCGGTTTATGCCCTCCTGCAACTTCCAGTGCTGTCCCTAACCCAGGACCCCCTAAGCACAGGGCCCACCTCCCCATGCTCCTCCCACGGGAGGGTGGGGGGGTTCCGTGAGCGTCTCTAACAAGACTCTAACAGGACCACACCCCAGGCGTGCTCCTTTCCAGGGAAGGCAGGCAGGAAAGCAGGAAGGCAGGCAGGCAGGCAGGCAGGCAGGCAGGACACCTGAGGAAAGAGCACTGGAGGCAGAGGGGACAGCCAGGAGGAGCCCTGCCAGTGAGCTGAGCACGGGGAACTAACAGTGACAGGGATGGGGGGAGGGGGACAGGGCCGACCTTGGACTCTCCCCCAGGCTGTAAGCCGGGGGGAGGGGGGCGTGAAACCGCTTGAGTCAGGGTATTCCCCCCAGACCAAGAGACCTGGAGTGCCACCCAGGGTGGCTCTTGAAGACTGACCCAGCCACTGACCCCGCGCCAACTCCCCCAGCCACAGAACCCAGGCCCCTGCGTCTATGCCCCGCGCCCGGGAACCTGCTCTGGCCATTTAGTGAGATTTTATGGGTTTGTTTTTTGTTTTGTTGTTTGTTTGTTTGTTTTCAAAGTGTGTCATTTAAATTTGAGAGGGAACACTAAGTTTACAGACACACGGAGCAGCAATCCTAACTACGCTTTTTGGTCTTCGAAGCCCTCCTCTGCCTGTTTCCACTCTCTCACCACCCTGATTTCCACCATGGGTTCCCCATGATCCTCCCAGCTCCCCGGCTGACCTCCTTCCCACCTGCAGCCTCCCAGGCCATAGACCTCTTCCCTCCACCAACCACCCAGCCCTTGACAGCCAGGTAAGGCCAGTGACAGTGCCTCTTCCACCTCCTCAGACCACCCAGCAAAGCCTAAGCCCGAGAGATGCCATAAATACTAGATAAGTGACTACTCGTCATATTCTGCGTGTCTTTTATAATTTTTGGCTAATGGCTTTAAAATGGGTTTGCCTGGTACAGAGGCTCACACCTGCAATCCTAGCACTTTGGGAGGCTGAAGCGGGAGGATTGTTTGAGCCCAGGAGTTTGAGACTACCCCGGGCAACAAAGTGAGACTCCGTCTTTACAAAAAAAAAATATTTAAATTAGCCAGGTGTGGCAGTGCACACCTGTTGTCCCAGCTACTCGGGGGTCTGAGGCAGAAGGATTGCTTGAGCCTGGGAGGAAGCTGCAGTGAGCTGTGATGGGGACGCTGCACTCCAGCCCGGGTGACAGAGCAAGACCCTGTCTCAAAAAAAAAAAAAAAAAAGAAAGTTTTACAGGCAGAATTTTAAAACACCCCCTAAAATCCCGACCCACTGGTGCACACGCCTGTGTAAATACAGCATGGCATGAATACGTAGGGTCTGCATTAAGACCCAGCTCCACCAGCGTTTTAACTGTGTGACCTTGAGTCACTCACTTAACCTCTCTGGACCTCAGAGTCTTCATTCAGAAAGGAAAATAAGTCAACCCCTAGCCCTGTGCACACTATATGACCCAGTAACTCCAGCTTTAATTTCTCCGAAGGTACTAAGCCAAATGTGGCCCCAGACGCTTACTAGCTCTGGAATGATTCCACATTTGTATAAGAAAAATGAAAAACACAGAGAAGTCTGAAGAGACATATATGAAAAAAAAAAACAGCCCTGCCTTCTGGTGGATTTTTCCGTCTTCCAGGTTTTCAGCAGCATATATTACTTTGGCAGTTCAAAAAGATAATAAGTATCATTTTTACAAATTAATCACTCTCCAGATGGCTTCTCAAGAACTTGACAAGCAGGTCTCAAATGCATATAGAGGCTGGGCGCGGTGGCTCACGCCTGTAATCCCAGCACTTTGGGATGCCGAGGCTGGTGGATCACTTGAGGTCTGGAGATTGAGACTAGCCTGGCCCACACGGTGAAACCCTGTCTCTACTAAAAACATAAAAATCAGCCAGGCATGGTGGTGTGTGCAATTCCAGCTACTCTAGAGGCTGAGGCAAGAGAATCGCTGGAACCTGGGAGGCAGAGGTTGCAGTGAGTTGAGATTGCACCACTGCACTCCAGCCTGAGCAACAGAGCAAGACTCCATCTAAAAATAATAATAATAATGATAATAATAATAATAATAAAATGCACATGTAAATTCAAGGGACTCTGGGATTGCCAAAACAATCTGTAAAAGATGAACAAAACTGGAGGACCCCACTCCACCGTTTCAAACCTGACTACAAAGCTCCAGTCATCAAAACTGTGGGACTGACATCGAGGTAGACACAGACCCATGGAACAGAAAGAGGCGTCCAAGATAAATCTCACATCACAGTCAACTGATATTAACAAGGATACCAGGACAATTCAGTGGGGGAGAAGCTAGTCCTGTTTCCTGCCTTAGCCTTTTTCGGAGCATGCAGGCCACGTGATCTCATTTTCACTCATCAGGTCTGTCTTCCCAGCTGGCCTGGCAGCTCCTCCCAGGCGGCGCCTGTGTTTTGTTCAATGCCATATTCCCCGTGGCTAAAGCAGGCACAGACCCACAGAAGGGGCTCAAACCGCAGAACCATCTATGGACTTTCTAGAAAGGTCTCCTAGGCATGCAGACATTTGGTTCCACAGGCTGCTGTACTCAGAGCTCAGTCTGGTTAGGAAACACACAAGAGACAATGTAGCTGCTCTACAGAAAACTGAAAAAAGAAAAAAAAAATCACATCTGGATCTCGAACCCAGTCCAAGACTAAACCTAAAAATAACAAACAGAAAG